GAAAAATCGAAAAAAAAAATACGAAGTAAATGATAAATTCATAGATCTATGAAAAAAAAAAACATTGCTCTATCAATCGATTTACTTTTATTTCATTTGGTAATCCGATTAATGTTGCACTTGAACGTTGTCCTGATTCTAGAAATATTTAATTTTAATTAAAATATTTTTTTTTTCTCTTTATGAAATTTGAAAAATATTTTACCTTCTAATAATTTACATAATAAACGATTTGCTAGATTATCTTTGAATAATCGTGATAAATCACGAAGATTATGATAAGGAAACGCTGCATTTAAAGCGATTGCTAAAAGAAAATTCATATTATTTATTTTAGAATATTCAAGAATGAATAATTAATAGTAAAGAGTACGTGGAAATTATCTTATTTTGAAAATTATTTTTAACGTCTCTTTAGTCTAAACTATTTTACACTATTCTTTGAAAACTTATATTTAAATTCGAAGAAATTTTCTAGAACTAATATTTATTTAATTTCTAATAAAGATAAAAACATATTTTTGTCATACCTTCTTTTTGTGTATGTAAATAATTTCCAATATTAAATGATAATTTTCCACAAGCTTGTGAAATTGAATTGACAACACCTAAATATCAAAACAAAAAAAATACACTAATAAAATAAATAAATTTAAAAAAAATATATTCTACCATCAATTGTTACTAATGAATCGGTTTTCATAATTGCTAATGAACATCTAATACGTTCTTTTTCACATAATTTATGTCGATAACGAATAACATAAAATGTTGATGATTTTCGTGCAATTTTTAAATCATAATTATTTTCTGCATCCTAAAAATTAAAGTTTTTTTTTTTTGTTAAAAATCTTTTTTTTTGTATTTGTTTTGTTTTTTCTTACCATTTGAAAGCCACTTTCAAGCATTAAAGCATGTATAACTATAACCATATAATCAAAATCATTTTCTGGTCGAGAACGTTCAACGAGATGATGTATTAATTTTGGATATGTTTGTAAATCTCGTACTTCATCAAGTGTTAATGGTTGATCAATAGATGATATTGATAATGATGATAAATTATCATTATTTATTTCATTTAATATATAGATTGTATCACCATTAACAAGACCAGATTGAGATATTGTTTGATTTTCATCTAATAAATCTCTACCATTAAGTGATAAATGAAAATTTGACTGTCTTAATGATGGAAAATTATTTATTATTGTATTTTTTAAATCATTTATAGATAAATTTTCATTAATATCATCGAATGTTATTGAAGATGTTTGATTATGAAATTTAATACGAAATTTCATTATTCGAATAGAATCAAAAAAAAAAAAACTAAATGAACTTATCGTTTTCAGACAGCAGACAGCGCTCTCTTTATTCTTCCTGATTGAAACAAGTCAGGAGAATGAATTCACATGATCGTCATATAATATCTACCAATGAAATAATATGTCGCTATATACATATATATATACATAAATATATATATATGACAATTCTTTGTTACTTATTTATATGTTTATTTGTTTGTTTGTTTTTCATATTTCTCTTTCATTTAGAAATTAATTATTATTTTATACGACAATATGAGTGATCATGATGTTAGTATTGAAATTTTGTTTTTTGATAAAGAAAAAAAATCTAGTTTTATTTTTAATTTAGTATTCAAGAGAACGAGAAAATGGACGATCACGTCGACGATCGCCTGGTTCGCCACGAACAAGTCGATCACCATCACCAAGACGATAGTATGTTATTCTTTTAGTTCATAGTCTACTTATGATTAAATCTAAAAATGATAAGCTTTATGATTTGTTGTTATTATGTCCTTCATTCAAGATTACAATAAAAATACAATAGTAATAGTGTCAGGAAAAGACTGATCCCCTCTGCAGACGTTCTCTGGAAGGACTCGGCTTTCTTATGACTCTGTCATTAATATACAGTTTGGATTTATAAAAGCTGAAGAGTGTATATAATCACAAAAAAATTACCCAATCAATTGAATGTGTTCGTGATAGTCCGGCTTGATGAGTTGACACATATACTTGTAGTATTTATGATCTTTGATGAGGTTTGAACCAAAAAAAAACAACATTTTAATTATTGAAATCATTTAAGAAGCTGTTGGTCCAGGTTTTTGGGTACTCAGACTCAAGTTTTTTTTTGCAGCAATATTTGTCCCTTTTTTGTATACATGAACAATCAAAGTTTTCGTTTAGTTAAGAAGAGCATTACCTTAACAAAAAAAAGAAAATTGAACAGTTAATTGACAAAATAAAATTCGTCACACCAATAGTAACACTCCAGATTTTTAACCGCATGAAATAGTTATAGTTATACTCCTTATGTAAACAAGATCAATCAAGTAGAGAGATCCAGGTCCACATTGTTGTGGACCTGAACTCGGCCCAGAAGAATTCGCAACTCCCTAAAACTATAACTCGCTGTTTGTACAATGAGTAATAAGATTTGGTTTTTTGCAAAATAAATGTGGTGTTAAGTGAAAACAGAAAAGATTGCATTGAGTGTTTATCTTTTTACAAACATGAATCATTTTTGTGGAAGATAAATATAATTTGTTGGTTTATGCACTAGAGAAAAACTCTTTGTATATTCATTCGAAAAAAAAAAACTATGAAATTTTTGTTTTTTATTTAATAGTTCTCGTTCACCATCACGTCATCGATCAAGACGTAGTCCGACAAGTCCAAAAGGTGGTCGTCGTCAACCAAATGAAGTTCATCGTGAAAATCCAATAGCAAGTGCAGTACTTGGAGTTTTTGGTTTATCACAATATACAGTTGAACGTGATTTAAAAGGTATTTTCATAAATTATTTTACAATTGACTTTTTGAAATAATTATTTTATACTTGATTTAGATCTATTTCATAAATTTGGTCGAATAAAAGATGTACAAGTTGTAATTGATAAAAAAACAAATAAATCCCGTGGATTTGGTTTTGTTTATTTTGAGGAGATTGAAAGTGCAACACGAGTAAAAAAAACGAAATAAAAAAAACATTGTTTTTTTTTTCATTCAAATTTATTATTGTTTTTGTGTCCTAGGCTAAAGAAGCTCTTAATTCCGTTGAACTTGATCATCATCGTTTACGTATTGATTATTCGGTGACAAAACGTGCTCATACACCAAGTGAGTTAATCTATAATTATTTTTTTTTTGACTTTTTAAATTGTTTTTATTAATTTTGAAGCACCTGGTATTTATATGGGTGTTCGTACAACATCATATCATCGATCAAATGGACATAGTTATCGTCGTTCACCATCACCCGATCGAAGATCATATCGACGACATCGTCATCATAATAATCGATCTCGGTGTGTTAATCTAGAATTGATAAATATATATTATTGAATGTATTTATATTGAATTATTTAGATCACGTTCTCATAGTCGAAGTCGATCACGATCTCGACGTGGTAAGAATTTTGAAATTAATGAATTTATTTATTTATTTATTTATTTTTTAGGTGGTGATCGTCGACGTCGAAGTCCAGGCTATGGATATGATTGAATAGAAAAATAAAAATGGCATTCATTCCCTGCTGACGAATCTCATCGGGGTGAGTGTCTAGTCAACATTGTTTTTTTTGCTATGAAAGTAGAAAAAAAAAGTGTTTAAACTAACTCTATACTCATCCAACATGATTTCTTTTTCGTCTTTTTTTTTCTTTGTGTATGTGTATTCTGCGCTACGTTTTTTCATTTTTTTTTCTCTTGTCTATTTCATGGTGTTTTCCTTTTTTGTTCCTGCACGATAAGGTTCTCAAATTGATTGTTTTGTTTTTTTTTCTTCATTCTATGTGTATCAAGAAAAAAGAAATTATGTAAACATGCTTAAAGAAGAAAGAAGAGTTTTGTTATGAAGAAAGGAAGATTTGTTTGAAGATTGTTCCTGAGAAGAAAAAAAAAAAGAAAAGAAAATATTTTATATTTCTAAAGAAAATTTACGGAAAAAACGGTATGATGAATAGAGAGAAGTAAATGAAGAAAAATAATGTTCAAAAAAGAAGATGAAATTTGAAAGAAGAAGAATGGATGAAGGAGATATAACGTGAGTTATTATTATTTATATTTATTATTATATCATTATTCTCTGTTTTTTGAATATATTGAAATAAATACTAATAAACTATGTTGGTTTATAGCAGAGATAATAAAAAAGAAAAAATCTTTATTTGCTTTTTTTGTTCTCGAATAAAAGAGATTCATGTGTGATATGATATGCAAAAGAAACAAGGAATGCATGAATATTCGCAAGACTTATAGAATTCTTCAAAAAACAGTGAGTTTGTATAATAAACTGACAAGCTAATCTTTATATTGAAACAATATATCTATGGTTTATCAATGATAATGAAATATAAAATCAATACTATTTTCATATATACATTCATTTTTGATAAATAAAGTTATCGATTGAATTAATATAAGTATTAAAACTATTTGCTATAAGAGAATTATTGGTTACAAGTTCATATTTGAATAAAGATATGAATTCTATATTCATTTCAAAATAACTAAATAGAAATATTTCATCGATGAATTAAATAATTGATCTGATTATAATAAATAAACATTTCTTGAATTTTATAAATGATTCGAAACCAAACATGAAATAAAATATTCAATAAATCAGCATTATCAAGATTAATTTTAATGAATAGAGACATGTTATATCAGGTAAGTCATTTTGAGTTGCATGAGACAAATTATTAAGACTTCAAAATTAACTGTTAAACCATCAGAGAATAATTCAATTTGATTGTTGAAATTTTCTTCCATTCAAATTCGACTATTACTAACCAAGACAAAAATGACATGACGTAGAATAAAAGAAAGAAAATGTCATAATTATTATTTACATTGTTGATTGTTCGTAACTATTGATCACTTGTATGTGAAGTGTCGACACATTTTCAAAATCAAATCAATATATTTCTCTCTTTGTTCGTAAAAAACTATTTACTAACAATGGCAACAGCAAAATATAGTGCATTGTTTCCACATGTTGCACCACGTTGTAGAGAACTTCTTCATATACTCGTACATGGTGCAGCTAATTTACCTACTATAGATGGTCGTATACCTCAATGTTATGTTACAGCGTAATCATATGAATTTTGATTATTTTTAAAATTGTTTATTTATATATCTAGACAAAGTCATACAACTATAACAGGACAAGATAATGTAGAAACAATTAATGCAACAAATTATGTTGAAGGTGTTTCACCTCAATGGAATGAAATGATCTATGCAGATATATCAGAAGAGAAAAGTCTATCGGAGGGTAAAAGAATATTTGTTTAATCTAATAAATGAAAGATCTTGAGGACAAAAAAAACAGAAATAATTGTCATATATTTTATCATTATGTAAATTAAATATGTTTATTTATAGAAATTATTCTTCTTATTATTGATGAACCTACTGGAAAAAAATTAGTTGGTTATAATTTATTATGGCGATGGTTCGTACCATTCTATCAATATCATTTAAATTTACAACAAAAATTAAAACAAACATCTCAAACAACTTGTTTATACGTTTCAATAATGAATAAATTAAGTTCTTTATCAAAAGAGAATATTTATTATTTTGGTTTAGAAACATTATTAAATGGATTTGATGTATCGATTACAAATAACCAATCAATCTATGGTGTAGCTCGAATTGTACCTGATTATAAATTTTATAAGTATGTATTTAGTTCTTTTTTTTATCAAAAAACTAATATCGAATGCGACAAAAATTTTGCGATACTTTTTTGTTTTATAGGTAATTCTATTCAGAAACATGATAAAACGTTGAACTTTGTTTTCAAAAGATGTTCCATTCAACGTTCTATTCAGATTACAAGATTCAATCTTGATAGCTATTCTTGAAATTTTAATAGATTACTAACATTGAATACGTGTATCATCATGTTGCTTTCTACAAGGAAAAATAAGAGAAAGCCGAAAATTATTGAATTTTCTTCATTCATTTTGGCTATAATGTTTATAACCAATACAGATACCTAATTTGACCTTCACAATATGGAGATTATCGCTCATTCTTATCTCAAATACAAGTGAAAAATAATGCCTGTGTCAATTGATCTGGATGCGTTGCCCTATAATAAAACGTTTTTGTGAAACACTATCTAAAAAGATTGTTCAAGTATATTGAATAGAAATTCTTCTCCTCTCTACCACGGACCGTAGCAGATGTTGTTGATATGCGATCTATGATCGTATACCAATAATATACCCACACTCCTATTCAAAATAGTCTTCCCTATGTAAATTATTATTTGGATTCTTTATGTGACTTAATATTACGGAAAAAATTTGAAATTAATTCTCTATAATCCATTTTTGGAGCCATTATTAGAGACCTGTGAAGTCATGCTTTTTTTTAAAATTTATATTCCGAAATTTTTTATTCCTGTAATTTGGCAACAGCTTATGTGTACAGTGATATTATGTGATATAAGGTTCCTTGAAGATGATGAAAATACATGTAGTGATCCAAGTAGAGATATTGAATGGTGCTGATCTTTTCTTTTGTTTCTTTTTTCTGCTGTTCTTCTTCATGTTATGCGACTATTGGACTGACAGTTTCCAGAACTCTGGTCAGCAGAGTAGTAAAATTTCAAAAATAGCTATAAAGATTGGGTCTTGTAATTCGAGTAGAACATTCGATAAAATCAATTTTATATTTATTAACAGACAAAATTATTTACCTGATCAAAGAAGTGAAAATCACGGTATTAAATTTACAGCAATAGAAGATCCAGCCGAGCAAGATTTTGTATTACCAGAATTCTCATTTGATGGTTATCCTCAATTATCATTAGCATCTAAAAGGGTATGATGATCGGAATAAATTTAATTATATCTGTCTAACCACATACCTTATTTTAGCCTATTTATTCTTCAGACTATCATTGTTTGATCTCATATTTATGCTTTCGATATATATTTTATCATTTAGTCTACTCTACAATTAGAAACTTTTGATGAAGAGCAAGGATTTGTTGAGAAAATTGCAAATTTGTTTTATATACTAATATACGATTGAAATCGAAATTTCTTATTGTAGTTGTCTTGCTACCATTAATTAATTTTACTTGAAATCTTGGAATTTAACTTGATATCTCACAGCAATCATGAATGTTTCATGAGAGAAATCCTCCAACTTGTAAATCGCTTTTGAGTTGAGACTGCGTCCATTATGAATATCCTGAAAAGAATTCGTGTCCATAGCTTATTGTTGTGAAGACACTGCACTTTTACAGTATTTTTTAAATGAATACCCTGGTCTCTCTGAAGAACACTAGGAAAACTGATTATCGAATTTCGAACTGAAACGTTATATAGAGACAGATCTTGATGAGACTAGTCTATTGTGAATGTTTCAGATCGTGTCACTGTTCCTATTTTAGAATACAACTATGGTGATAGTGCATTTTTTACATCGCTCATATAAATCGACAGATTTGATGCTTGTATATCAGGATAGAAGTGAATCGAAAGGTCTGTCTCTATGTGAAAATTTCACATCGAAATTCGAGAATCAGTTTTTTTTCTAGACCAAAGCATTCATCATTTAAAAATACCGTAAAAGTACAGTATCTCCGCAGTTATAAGGTAAAGACACGAATTCTTTTCTGGATATTCATAGATCATTTGAGTCTACATAATGAATATAGTTTCGACTTAAAAGCGATTTATCAGTTGAAAGACTTTCTTCATCAGTTTTCATATAGAATAATGAGCCGTAGAATAAACTAGGAGATAATGATCGAATATGCACATATACTTTATCAATAAACTCTAAGTATTTTTTTTCAAAGTGGATAATAATCATCGAACAGAGTTTATGACAAGATTTCTACAATAAAGAAGTTCTTGATTAATTCAACAATAAGAACTACAGCATAACTAACATGTATAAGTTGTGTTCTAATTCACTCTACTATCTAGTGTACGATACAAAGATCAGAATAGATAGAGTAAACTAAATGATAAAATATATATCGAAAATATAAATATGAAATCAAACAATACTACTCTTACGAATAAATAGCTTAACATTAGTTGTGCTATTTATTATAGTAAGGAAAAAATATTTTATAAAAATTCTTTTAGTCAAAACTTCCAATATGGAAACATGATTTTCTCTTTTCACATGATATTGAAAAAGATAATATGTTTACACATCATAATGGTGCACTTGTATTTGAATTTTATCCATTACAAAATATTGCTAATAGCACAAATTGGCGTATAGCAGGTTTACTTGGATGGACAGCTATTCTATTAGATGCACGATTATTAAATGCACTCTCATCATCAACTGCAAGAGAAGGCATGAGAACTGAAGGTATTATTTCATTGTTTTTATTATTTTCTATTTTATTTTAAATTTAAACAAAAAAACAAATCAATTAAAGGTCTTTTGGTCAACAGTGAAGGCGATTTAACATCAGAAAGTTCGAAATATTTAACAGCTGAAATTTTACTTCGTCTTATTACTGAAAGACATCCAACAAAAAATCTTCTTTCACCATCAAGCAATAATTTGCCTGTATTACCTTCGTACTATAATCAAGGTATTCAACAAAATGGTACTGAACCTGTTTATATACAAGTCCCTGTACCAAAGAAAAGTTTTTTACCAGCAATACAATCACCAACAGTACCACTGCCTGTTGCTCGTTCACCAACGCAAGTAAGAAAAATTTTATGTATAAATAATTATTGTTTGTACTATGTCAATTTAATAGAAAAGAAAACATGTACTCATTTACTATGAATTTTAAATAAGAACTACGAAAAAGAAAAGAATCATTGATTAAACTTCATCGATTTCATCTATCTTTTAATAGACAATAGTTTAATAGTTTCAAATGTATGATTAGTTTTGTTCATCATTTTGACTATACATCCCAATGATTGAGTCTGAAATATAGACTTTTATTAAAGATCGGTAAAGACAATGAAGAAAAAATATCGATTTTTACTCATTTTACTTCAAACATCTGTATAAGAAATGTTATGATTGGCTAGATTTTATATTTTCTAATATTACAAAATAGACATGATAGTTAGTAATATACTGCAAAAAGTTTCAGAAGTAAAAAGCTATTTTCTCGTATCAAATCCGAGCCATTTAGTCAGTTCGACCATTTCTTGAATGCAAATTACTCGGTGCATGACTCTATTATATTTTCAAAGTGATATATCAAATTCTATTGTTATTACACTACAATGTGCTTGAAAAATCTGAACGAAAAAAAAAGACAGGAAGTTGTTATAATCTCATATGATTCTCATTAAAGTTTTATTTCCTATAAGCTTATATAATCATAATAGATTTTCAAAATCATCGGAGAGAATTTCATCCGAAATTATTATGATCTTGATGTCAATTTTCATTTCATAGATGTTAATTTTAACATTAGATATAGATGTAAGTCATTTCGTTTGTAAAGAAATATTCTCTTTATTATCGCTATCTGCTATCATTAGCCATAAAATCTTGCACACTTCAATATGATCTAGAAAGTTATCTTAGAAGACTTATTGAATATGTTTTACTTTAAATAATTTTAACAAGAGATACATTGTCATGATTTCATGCATTGTTATTAACAAAATTGAAATAACTGGTGAAAAAAAAAATGGAATACTGCACTGACAAATATGTTTAAAAATATCATGAACTTCATCTCTTGATGATTATTTGAAACTTTTCAGAATACAATATCACGAAAATCTTCAAATGTAGATCTAATCCGATAACTATTTAAGTTGTTTCTATGACACTTAACTTATAGTTTTAATTTTACAGTTGTAAAGAAACTCGACTTTAGTCATCATTAGAACTTTTGTGATTATAACTTCACATATTCTAATTGTGCAAAGTCATGTCGCTAACGAATGATTCGGCCTATATGTTAAATAAAACTTCAAAAAGAACTCATATCACTCTTTCGAATTGTTCCTGACACATTCATATTTATTTTTCGTTCAAACTTTTGGAACAAACGGTATAAATGTATTTTATAGCAATTCAAAATTGTAAACGATCACCTATACATACAAGATAAACAAACACTTAAAGTTACTAAAGCATTGACTGTTCTCTTTTTCTTAACGTAAAAAGAAAATGAAATATTTTTTTTTTATTAAAAGTCTTTTCTCTTGTTTATGACATATTTTTCTGTTGGCTGCTGTTGAGTCATAGGATCATATAAAACTTATGTTTTACTATCATCCGAATAAAAAACAATTCGTTCTAGTACCAATGCCAACATATATGTTAAATGGTTCGCCAACTTACTCTCTTGTCTGCATTTTAAATATGGCAAAATAAATTTATTTCGATTTTGTTTTTTCTTTTTTTAAGGCAGCTCCACCAACATTTGTTCCACCACACTTATATCAACCACAGTTGTATCAACCACAGTTGCATCAACCACCTCCATATGATGTGTGATAATTTTCTTTTTTTTTTTTATAATTATTTATAATTTCTGTTTTTAAAGTTTGTACAAAGTGCTCCACAAGTACCAGCAACAGATGTTAGTTCATATAGTCTGTTTTTGTTTTTCCATTTATGTATTTATTCTTCTCTATTGATAATATAGTTTACTCGTTATCGTATTCCACGCATTAATCCATATGATTTGGATGATATTCCAACAGAATATCGAGCTATGTTAGCAACAAATTATCCTCCACGTCGTGATGATGATATTAATGGTTGGTTTGATTATTTTGAACGTGAAGTTGCACTTTATAAACAAGCTATTCGACGTATTATACAAGATGTTGTACAATTACGTGATCAGCATAAAACATTAAGAGCAGCAAATATTGATTTACGAACAAAATTAGAAAATTTTGAAAAGAAAAAAAAAGTTTTATATGAAATTTTTGAAGGTGATAAAATTGATAAAGCTAAAATTCAAGATATATTTAGTAAGAAATAAAACAAAATCTTCGTATTTATTAATAAATTGTAAAATTAAATCTTGTTTTTTTTTTTAGATCGTTTAAATGCTAAAATATCTGCTCAATCACTTGAAATAAAAGAAAACTATGCAAGAATAATTGGCTATGAAAAAGAATTAGCTCGTGTATACATATATATCATAGAAATGAATAATTAAAAAAAGTTTTTCTTTTGTAGAGAGGTGAATTACGTGCTCAATATGATGCATTAGTTCATTCAACTCAAGCACGTGAAGTAGAGATTAAATTATTACAACAACGAATAAGGAAAGCTGATGGACTTGAAGAAACAGTTCGACGTCAAGAAATGGTTATTGAAAGACTTGAATCATTGATTAATAATTTTATAAAACAAAAACGATTAGGAGGTTGAAATTCTTTTTGAGATAGATTTTCGTCGGAAAATAAAAATCATTATTTTTTGTAGGAGCATTTAGTGATATTGATAGAAGTTTTTTATCTGAACATGCTGCACTCGGTTTAGAAGCTCAAAAATTTCAAGTACGATTTTTATTTAGATTTTTATTGATCATAGATTGAATATTTAGTAGAGACGAGTATCTCCTGGATATCATACAGAAATGATAAATAGTCAACGAGATGATCTTCTTCAACAAAATATAGCTTATCAACAAGAATTAGCTACTCTTAAAGCTCGAGTAAGATTTATAAAAAGTTTTATTTGTCATTGAATTACCATTACGTATTTGTTTTTCATTGATTATTAAATAAGCATATTTGATATTTTAGTTGCAAGAAAATTCAGCTGCATGGGGAAGAGAAAAAGCTGAATTGCTTACACAAATTAACGATATGGAACCATCGGTGAGATTTTTATGTCTTTTCTTATGAATTAGAAAGTTTAGTTATTTTTTTCCTAGTCGCCTACACCACGAACACGAACAAGAAAACCAAAACCTTCTTAAATGTTTATTTACCAATTTAAAAATAAAAGTTAAATAAATATTTTTTTTCTCATAATTGGCAAATACTAAGCGTGATCTATGGTCAATACGACTGTAATGAAAGTAGGACTAATCATCTATATAATCGTTGTTTTCATCTTACCTGCTATTGAGTATAAAAAATATTTTTTAATGAGTTATGTGAACGTCTTAAAATAAAATAAAATGTTTTGATGGGACTATATTGCTTTGTTCTTGCTAACTTTCCGGTCAATGATTTCGGTAGGTTCTCTTCGAAAAGATACTATCTTCGGTCAGAAAATTCCATAAAAGGGTAGAAATTAGGAAGCTGGAGTTTAGTAGCTGGTAGCTGAATTTTTGCAGTTCCGATTGGAACCGAGCATAGTCGGTCACTGGATTCCTACTTCCAAGTTCTTACCATTTTCGAAACTGCACTCCATTTACTGGAGCTGTCAATTGATCTATCCTTTTAAACGAAAAGTATAGTCCTTTTGTAGTAATTCTTTTCGAGGACGAATCTTTCCTCTAGAGAGAATCTAATTTCCACATTGCATTATGAAATACATAGAATATGAAAAATGTATTGTCGAATTATTTACATTTTCTTTTGGATGAATATATGGGGTTGGCTAGTATGACTGAATACGCCACTTTATTTTTCCTTGCATAGTTTCTATTCACGACAAAAATATATGATTTTTTTACCAGTTATAGTATTGATAAAGAGCTGATAATGTGCTATCATTTCGATTATATACCTTGACCAAAGTCAATGAAACAAATGGCTTTCTGAAATCTTTCGTGAAAACGTACTTTTATTAGGCTAATTCATTGTGACTCGTACTATCTACCTGAAACAGTAAGATATAAAAATGATAAACGTCAGTTAGAAACAATCGATTAGGAACTACTGAATATGTTTTCATAATTTATTATTACGAATGGAATGTTTACTCAACTTAAGATTACATAGTGCAGAGACAACACATGTAATTTTAGTAATCTTATTCAAATCGTTATAAGGACCTTGATAAATACTTCCTAAAATGGCATTTTCTTTAATACGTTGGTTGATACAGATAGATATTACGAATCACAATGAGTAAGCCTAATAAAAGTACATTTTCATGAAAGATTTCAGAAAGCCATTGTTTTTTTGGCTTTGGTCAAGGTATATAATCGAAATGATAGCAGATTATCAGCTTTTTATCAGTCCTTTAACTGATAAAAAAAAGTCATATGTTTTTGTCATGAATAGAAAGTATGCGATGAAAAAGAAAGTAGGGTCCCTAATTTGAAATATAAAGATGTAAAAATTGACTTTGTTAAACGTTTTAAGTATCTAGAGGTCAATATAACAACCAAACTCGGATAGAAGTTTTTTTATCCTAAGTCGTTCGAAGAAAATAAGAAAAATCTATTACACTCTTCGAATACTGTTTAAGAAAATACCCATTTCTCTAATTTAACTAAGCAGGACATAATTCTTTTCTTATGCTTTCCTCCATTTAAACTGGTTGTCTTTATATTGGGTGTTTTATACCGAGATGCAACAAAGACTGATTAAACACGTGTATTGCTCAGAACTATGCATAACAAATGACTTCAATTTGTTGGCCGATCTTAAAGTTTATATATTAGCAAAAGAATATACAATAAATGACTCTTTATATGAACATTGAAAAAAATTTAATAAATATCTAGAAATCTTTGCAAAAGCAGTACGTCAATATGAACTGACTTTTATTTCATTTCACGCTGCAAAAACTTCTAAAAAGAATTGGTATCGTAGCATAAATACGCGCAAAAATAGTCAATTTTTGAATCGCTTATCTGCGAGAGCAGATCATTCGAAAATCGATCTGTTCGAGTTTTTCATCTCTCATTCGCAATAATATGAGTACGCTAAATATGCAACCTTTCCAACAAATTTTTCATACGTCGGTAAACTTAGCAGTGTATTCGAGTTTTTTGTGAAAATACTCCTTAACAGACTTGCTCCAGCAAGTACACCAAATATACTGTCAGATGTAAATCTTTCGAAAAAACTTTTATTGAGACAAATCTCTTAAAAATTCAAAAAACATATTTTTCAAATTTTGTCTTGAGTAAAGATGAAGAATTTCTATCATATATTCGTTATAAGAACTGTTCCAATTGAGAAGTCATGCGTACCAGATAGAATTCGATGAGCTCTCTCTACTGGTATCAAACTCGACCTTGTTCATCGACAGAGTGAGCGTCTATTTGACCAAAAACTAATAGAACCGGGAATTTCAGCATATGCCATCACGAAATATTCGTTTCAAGATTCTACCAATTAAGAAACTATTTGTGCTAGATAAACGTCGATGAGATCTATCCATTGGTAGTGAATACGACCGAGTGCATTGACAGCATAGAAGTCTAACTGGCCGAAGACGGGTGGTACGGGGGTTTTCAACACATGCCATGACAAAATATTCGTATCAATAGCTGTGCCAATCGAGAAAGGACACGAAGTGTAGGCGTGGATGTTCTTTTCACTTTCATACCCATATCTACTCGGGCACCTGCACCCACGTCCACACCCAAATCAAATTTTTTTTCTGTTTTCTTAAGTGGAAAATCTTCCTTGGACAAAGGAATTTTAGGAAATTAACTTAGTCATAGACAATTATTATCCATTTTTCTTTAATGATCCATCAAATACTTTTAAATCTGTAAGCATATTGATATCAAGTGTAAAGATATGATCAACATTTAATGAGTTATCTGACAAATTTAAAAAGAAAAACAAATTCAATCAAATTTTTATTAAAAATTCTATGTATCTCATTCAAACAGGCGCTTTCTTGATTCGATACAATAAAAAATGCATCATCTTCATTTCTACTGGTGATAAACTATGAAATGATATAGTTAATGGTGAACAACATTGTTCACCTTTTTTTTGATCAAATTGTGCATTTTTTTTAATCCATTTTGTAAAATTTCCCATAAAATGTTGTTCAAATGTCATTGGATGAAAAATTTCAAGTTGTTGATTATCACGCGCATTGATAACAAATATACCAATACGTGCAAGACAATAAGCAAGATTTATATCTTCAGCTTCATCTTTATTACATAATTTACGTTTCTCAGTATTTGTTAAAATTTGTTTACCAAATTGAAGTAATGCTTCTTGACTTAAAACATAACCAGCACCGCCTGATGGATATAATCGATCTGAAGTTTTAGCTATATAACCATAATAAAATGATGTATTTGATGGACGACGTCGAAGAAAATGACGAAGATTTTCAATAATTACATATGTATCATCATCACCTTTAAAAAACCAATCATAATCATGACCATATTGTTTATATATATAGAGTAATGAAAGTAAAGTTTTTTCAGACAGTCGATTATATTTTTCTATGGTTTCATCGCCAATATAAGCAATAGGAAAAGGATATTTTGAATGATCAAACGAACGTGTTGGACGTGAACCAGCAATCATAAAAACTGAATGATCACATCGTTTAGCCCATGTTCTGAATTCGAAATAGGAAAATTATCATTTTTTTCTAAATAATCAAGTTAATTCACTCACTCATATACAATAATTGCTCGATCGAGTCGATTAAGTGTTGTTGGAATCCAACATAAAATTCGTGTATTTATATTAATTATACTTGCTTTATCGCTTATATTATCAGGTATTGATATTTCAATATTATTTTTACAATGAGAATCGGATAAATAAAATAGATAAATTAAAGGTTCAATGATTAATAATAAAAGTATAATAAAATAAATGAATATTCGACGACGATATAATGACATGAAAATATAAGAGCTTAAGACGACAAAAAAAATCGAACGAATGAAAAAAATTAAGACAACATAAAAAAAACCTTCATATTATTCAATGTTTACTTTTCAAATGGAACGAAAAAAAAAGCAGTCGAATCAGATAATTATAAGAAGCCAAACAAAAAAAGATGGGGTGTAAGTTTATAAGTGAGGAGTAAATAAACGTTCATTTTGCAAGACACTAATATATTCATATGCGTATAAGTACTAAATAATAGAAAATATTTCATTACTAATTATCTGAATTATTTTAAATCAAATATTTTTCTACTAACGGATGCATTGAAAGTTTTTCGACGAATTATTTCGATCGATTAAAAGAGCCAGAAGAAAGTATCAAAAATTTGATTAGAATTAAAACTGTGCTCCTTCCAAATTTTTGTGAAACTCATAAATCATGAGTTATGAGAAAATCTTTTAGAAGCTTGAAAATAAAGTTTGAGCGGGCTTTGATGCTTAATAAAACGTCCAGGATAGAGGCTACAGCGTCCATCAACAATGCGAGTTTGAATAAGATATACAATGATGTGTTTATAATTCCTTGATTTCCTGAACTTGGTCGTCTCCGATTGATGATAGCTATGAAACTCTCAGTTCTTAGCTGACTTTGTGTAAAGGACAGCTTCGACCATTATACTGTGCAAAAAGTTGCTAATAGAACGTATGCAATAAGGGACATTATTGCTGAGAAGCAAGTCTATTAAATAGATGCTAATTCAAAACGTTATGAAACCAAGAAAAAGAAAGTGAAATTAAACAAAATGAGCGTTTTTACGAAATCAAAGAAAAAAATTATTGAATAACAGTATGAAATTAATTTCCAACAAGATGCCGTCGCATTCGCCGTCCCTATTCAAACTTTATTTTCAGACCTGTCAAAGATTTGTTCATAACTTCTAACCTATGAATCTTACGAAAATTCAGAAAGAGCACATAATTCTGATTCTAATCAAATGTTTAATACTTTCTACTAGTCCTCTCTTAATCGATTGAAAAAAAAAGGAATATTTTGTCTAAAAACTTTCGACGTATCTGTTACTTCTTTACTTCAATGATATGGATTATATTCATATCATAATTAAATTTATTATAAAAATTAAAACATCTTCTACTTATTGATCCAATAATTTCCGTCGCAAGTTGTACAACTAAGCATA